AGAGGAGATGATTTAGTTCAAAATGTGAAATGAAATGGGCGCACCACTGCAGAACCCTATGGAGGCGCCATTTCGGTGGTGGGTGCGCAGTAAGCTGCTCGTTGTAGACAGGTTACCAGTCACGCCGTCTCCAGGGCTTCCAACAGCTGACGGAAAGGTAGTTTCACATTTTTAAATGTGTGGTTCATTTTCCTTTTTTTACATGCGCTGTTCCGGATTCTTTTTCGTTTAGTAAGAAGAAGGTATTTAGGGGAGCATAAGTGCAATTTATTTCCTTCCTTGTGTTTCTCCCCTCTCTTGAGCTCAGCCCAGCGTCACCCAACATTGACCCAGTTCTGGTTCTGGTTTATTCCGGCTGTGTTTTGAGATCAGAAAGCGACTTTCCAGTTTTTCACAGTGCCAAATTTTCCGCGCGAGGATCGCAGGTATTTTTTGTGAAAACTTCCCACGGCCACTTATAACTTTAACTGGAAATTGGTTTCCTATTTGTTCGTTGTTCTAAGAATGTTCCACTATTTCCGTTTTGTCAGCCTTACTAATCATCATTCATTTATTATTCTACAGCTTCATCCCTCCTCACCTCACCCTTTGGTTTCTCACTCCAAGAAAACGCATGACCTTGTGGATTTCCTTTATTGCAGGCTGAGTATCATAACCCGTTACGGTTCCCCAAAACAAAATCTGTTCGTCCTGGTCCAGCAGAGCAACGAACATTGCCTGGCGAATTTCATCATAGTATCTCAGAAAATTACTATTACAATAGGTATGGTGTCATCTCCAGCCACCATTCTTTAACGCTTCTCCAATTTCCCTTCTTTTACCATTTTCTGATGGCATTTTTAGGGACAATGGTTGTAAGGTAACCGCTCTATTCATCGGATGGACATCATGCTCAGTTCGCAACGCACACTGGTGAAGTTCTTACGTAAGTCTTTCCTCATGAAAAAATACAAAGCATTGGAAGTTACGTTGCGTGGTTTTTTTGTAGTCTCTGGTGCTTCAAAGTAACACTCGTATTTGTAAAGTAGATTCTACAGTTCCCATCCTGTCTCTGATTCTGTACTTTTTATATCACCAATATTTTTCTAGACAACACGATGCAGTTCAAGTGAACAAAGGACCATCTTGCGAATTTTGGTTCACCAGCGCCTACACCGGGTTTTGGATATGAGTGGAAGCGAACACGTGATGAAGAGCTTCAGACACAAAGAGAAGACCCAGATCTGTCTCGCCTGGAACGTTTCGATAGATTCGCAGCCAGCAAATAAATCGATTCAAATGTAGAAAAAGAAACCGTAATGAGCATAGATGTTCTGAATAAAGAGTATAGAGAAAAGTCATGGATTTAAATATGGATTTAAT